AGTCAGCTGCCGTAAGTAGTGTCAGATGTGATATTACTGGAGTCACTTTGTAAATGGAGATGCCAGCTTCTTCAGTTGAGTATGTCTATGCCAGGGCCAGCAAATGATGATCCATGGGCAACTCTAGCTTGTCTACTGTTTTATATGGTTGGTGAGCAAAGAGAGCTTTTTACATTTTAATAGGGTTGAGAAAAACCAAAGAAAAATGTTCATGACAGATAAAAATTACATGAAATTTGAATTTCATTATCTATAAATAAAGTTTACTGGAACATAGCCAGACCCATTTATTTATATAACATCTATGTCTGCTTTCATACTACAGCAACAGAACTGAGTAGTTGTGACAGACGATATGCACATAAAACCTAAGGTATTTACTATCTGGTTCTATAAGGAAAGGTCCCAGAGATGAAAGAAAGTTCAAGGAAATCTGAAAAAATTTTAAACTAAATTCTCTTTCTTGATAATAAAGATAAAAATGAAGATGTGTTTGTCTTTTTCCTCTTTTTTGATGCTTTAAAAATGAATCCTCATTAATAAAAATATTTCAAAAAATGAACATTTATTCAGTGTTGGAACATTATTTTAATATTGAAGGCAATTAAGTTTAAAAGGTTTTTCCACCTCAAACCACCCTTAACATGGCTGTTTCAACACGTCTTTATTTTGATCGGTGCTTCTTTCTACTTTTGGCATCCATATTTTGTAATTATGATCCATATCGTAATTAGGATCTACGTATAATTTCATAGTTGATGCAGTCCTTTCCAGTTGGCTTTCATAAATGTTACTTGATTATGATTCTTATTAGTCATAGTGGTTATGTTGCCATAGCATGGTACAGTTCACAAGCTGCATGTGTTTCAGAAATACTTCTTGTTCTTGCCTTTGATCAGATTCTTGCATCTTCAACTGCGACTGTAGTTTTGACTCTTTGGAGCCACAGCCAGGCCACCCTGGTTGTCTCATATCTTCTGTTCTCTGACATTGATCCAAGTGCCACATTATCTTAGAGCTTAAAAACGAAGAAAGATAAGAAATAAGGCTAAAGGAAAATTGTCAGAGAAAAAAGTGAATGTGATACTGTAAAGGTGACTTCCTTTCTCTCTCTCCAGACATCCCCAAACTCAAAGTAGTCATTAATACTAGAAAATCTATTTAGCAAGCAAAAATCTTTGTTCACTTAATAATGACTGAAGGGTTGTTTTCTTTGCTGTATTTCTAAATAAGTGGGCATAAAAATAAGACCATCATTGTCATTATGTTACTATTGTTGACATACTGTATTTTAGACCCCAAATCCTTTCAGTGTGTCCAATTAACTGAATACTATGAAATCTAAGTAAAAGACAGCCAGTAACATTTTCATCTCTTATTTTTTCCTAGTGAGAAGCTGGATGGAGAAACTAAAAGATAAGGTAAGAAAAATCTCTTCTTTCTTGACTTATCTGGAAGGGCACAAGGTTTTGTGAAACAAAAGATCTGAGAGCTTCCTTGTTTGATTCCAGAGATACAAGGCCTCCTCCAGGTACCCAGCAGGAAAGAACTTTCCTTCAGTTTCCTTCCTGTAGAACACAGGAGACACCTTAGTCTTTGAAGGTGTCTTTATAAGGGGATAAGAATATACCTTAGTTTGTATGTTCAGCTGAATAATATTCTTGACATAATCCAGGTGGAGTTTCTTCTAGGGAGTTTCAGCAATGTAATCCAATTTGGTTTGGCCTTTACTGTCCCAGTGTGACGTGATAAGAATCTACTTTGTATGTGTGGTTTATTATAGTGCTGCTTCTCATCAAGTGTTAATAAGCTGACCTGTCTGGATGGCCAACTATGGAAAAATATTTTCCTACCTTGTATCAATTCTGCTGACATGGAGATTGACAATATTAAACTTCTTTCCAGGTTCATATTTTCATTTTCTTTTGATTTTCAATGCTCTCCAAGTTTTCACTTTTGATTACTTCTTAATTTTAAACTGGAATTGCTCATAAAAATATTGATAGAGTCTTGAATTCCTTGGTGTAGCCTCTGTCAGATTCTATTATCATAGTCCAGCTCAGACTTAACTGGGGGTTTTGGTTAAATGGAAATCCTTACAATATCAGATATTGAGTTACCTCCAGTTCTCTAGTCTCAATATATTTTCATTTGTGGCATTTCATATATTTTTATTTATTTGATTCATTTACCCATATTTAAATTCTGCTATTTATTTTGCTATACTCAATGTTAAAGGAGAAAAAATATTCAGTTGCGATTAAAATGATATAACTAGGTTAATTCTCACTATTATGTTTCTGTTTTTCAGTATAATTTACATATACATAGCTTTTGAGGTGAGACTGTTATGTGTTTGTTTATGTTAAAAATGATGTTGAAAACTTTAAGGCTACTGAGATCAGGGGAGACCAGTTTATTATTTGTATTGAATCCAGTTGTACAGACTGAGCATGATTTGGGTGAAGAAAAATTCAAAAGTTTAGAATTGGACATATTTATATTGGTAGCACTTCTTGTTATTGTTCAGGGGGAAATATGATTCAAAGACTAGTAAACAGGCTAGGAATCCAAATACCAGTTTTTTTTCTATAGAAAATATCCCTCTGAGCTATAAAAAAGGACAAAAGCCAGTCTCAGCAACTTAGTGAGGCTCTAAGTGAGTTAGTGAGACCCTGTCTCAAAATAAAAAAATAAAATAAAATTTAAAAAGGGCTGGGGATGTGGCTTAGTGTTAAGTACCCCTAGATTCAATTCCTGAGTATGGCGGCAGGGGTAGGGACCAACCAAATAAAAACAAAAACAAAACAAAACAAACAACCAAGAAATTAATTTTGGTATGTAACCCACTTTGAAATTTGATATTGCAAAATTTAATACCTGTGTGTGTGTGTGTGTGTGTGTGTGTGTATTTAACTTTCAAAATCTGTGCAACTTTAGAGAAAGTTTCTATTGTTTCTTCCTATGAACCCTTTATTCTTATCTTGACTCCAAAGACTGGCACTTTCTTGCTGACCCTTTTCATCAAGAGAAACAATTTGATATGTGGCCCCTTGTTTTCTGGCTTATTTTGAAGTTTCCCCAACTCTCTTCAATTTCTTCTCTAGCATTTCTTTATTATGTCTTAATTTAAAAAATTGGAAGAAGAAAATTTAAGCCTCCAACAATGGTGGTCATATTTAATGTCTGTATCTTTCTCTTTTTATTTCTTTTTGGATGGACTCATTCTGATCTTCCCCATATCCCTCTGTCCTACATACTTGAAATATTCATTGCTCATCTGATGTGTCCATTCATATGTATATACAATGTATGCATCTCCTTCCTCCCTTCTTCATCTACCATCCGCAAAAGTCTTGTTAGTCATCATCTGCAGAATTTGAGGGCATAACTATTATCTCTTTAATGAAAGTCTTAGAATTCCTTAGAACTGAATTCTAAACTATGTATTTAACTTGGCTCTTCAGCCAAGCCAGGACACCCTCTTGTTTAAGCTTTATCAATTGTTCCAGTATTGATTCTCTATTAGTTAACTGGGCTCTAAAAAGGGTGGTGTTTTCAAAAGTTCTGAATTGCCCCTTTTGTTGTTGTTTAGTCTTTCCATATTATTTAGGACTTAGATCAGCTATGAGTTAGGACAACAGCTTAGCCAAGACAGATGTTTGTTTCTTATTTATTAATCTGGAGATATTAATCAAAGGTTAAATTTGGATTGACATAGCAACAGGGACTCAAGCTGCTGCTGTCTGATGCTTCACTGTTTCTGACCTTCATTCCCAAGGTCACCTTATGTTCTTGGGTGGCAGTTCCAATTTGGCTATATACATATTCTAGCTAGAAATAAAAAGAAAAAAGGGAGGTTAACAATACTACTTCTTTTTTTTTGAACCGGGAATTGAACTCAGGGGCACTCGACCACTGAGCCATATCCCAGCCTTGTTTTGTATTTTATTAGATATAAGGTCTCACTGAGTTACTTAATGCCTCGATTTTGCTGAGGCTGGCTTTGAACTCTTGATCTCCTACCTCATCCTCTGCTGCGATTACAGGTGAGTACCACTGGGCCCAACTTACTCCTTCCTTCTTAAAAGGACAAATTAAGGCTCTCTGTCATTCTTAAAGGACGGTGGATAAAGGGTCTTCCCTCCTTTAAAAATTTATATTACAAAGTTTTTACATTAAAATAACATGCTTATGGGACTGAGGTTGTGGCTCAATGGTAGAGTGCTTGCCTAGCATGTGTGAGGCACTGGGTTCGATTCTCAGCACCACATATAAATAAATGAATAGAATAAAGTTCCATCAATATCCAAAAAATATTAAAAAAAATAACATGCTATTTTAGAAATTTTAAGAGAAGGAAAAATAAAAGAGAATACTACTTTAAGATGATCATTATTTATTAACATTTTGCTATATTCCTCCAGACATTTTTAAATGCATTTGTGTGTGTGTGTTCTTTTTACAACATGCTGTACATACAGTTTTCTAATCTATATAGTTTTAACTTGCAATGAGTTCATTGTATATATCTCATGCAATCAAGTATTTCTGATTACATCATTAGTGACAGATGTGCTTTATTGCACAGTGAGAATGAGCCACAGTTGATGTAACCAGTCTCATTAGGAAACACTGACAATGAAGTAAATGCTGTATTTTTCAGCATTTCAGGAAAATAGAGCCCTGTGGTTACAAATTAGGGTATGAGCATTGAGGGTCAGAATTCAATGAGTCTAAATTAACTAGAACATCAGTCTTTTTTTTTTTTTTTTAGTGGATCTGGAACATTCTAGAATGTACAAATAAGCATTGTTCTCTTTAGAAGAGTTACTTCTACACAAGGCTATCTAAACCAAAATAAAACACTAGCCCCAGTGCTTCTGGTGTCAAGAGGGAAACCCTAATCCAGTTCCCACAATACCACCAAAGATGTCCATTGATAATAGAAAGAAGTGGTTGACATTTATTTGTGTATCAGGCTAAAAAATTTGCACGGGAATTGAGACCAACCCTTTCAATGTCTTTGTTTCCTTCAGCAACATCTTGTCTCTAGATGGAATTCAGCTCCCTTTTAAAAGAACATGTCTTGGAATTTGCCCATGCCATGAACATATCTTCTTGGTGAAGTTTATCACCTGGCCATACCAAGCTTCATGGAAGCCAAAGAACAGTATCTTTATTTTGTACCAAGTCCCAAATTGGAAACCTTATAGGGATAGAAGAAGAAAAATGGACATCGAGGGACAATAACACTCAATAACCTTAACCTTTTGGGTTAAATATCCAAGTTAATGATGCTCGTTAGACAAATCTACCTTGGCTTCCTATTGATGTATCTTTTCAACATAAAAATGGCATTTTCAAAACCGAAGACGCAATATCTATTTTAATTGTGTAATAAATATCAGTCCTGTTGTGGATGTCACCAAGACCGTTCTGTTTCTTCTAGCTTTAGAAAGGCATTCAGAAGATGAACGGCCCAGATGAGACTTCAGAGCAGTGATTCTTATGTGTGGTCTGGACCAGTGGCATCAGCATCGTGTGGGAGCTTCTTAGATATGTAAATTCTCATACCCACCCTAGACCCTCTATATCAGAAATCCTGGGAATAGGGCCCAACAATCTGTGTTTTAGCAAGTCTGACAGGTGACGCTACTGCATGCTCAAGTTGGAGAACCACAGTTGCATCCAAATCCTCAGGGCACTGTCCCAATCTAGCAGGCTAGACACAGTACCATGTATTATCTGGTTTTCTTAGAGCTTTCTTGACAATGGAAATTCCTCAACAAATCTATTTGCCTAAGAAGGGAGGATGCTTTTCTCATAAACTTCAAATAAGAAACCCCAAATCCCAAAGCCAAATAAATAAAAACAAGTATTTCTCGTCATATTTTGACTATAATTTACTTAAAATAATTTAAACTTGATTTGGAAATAATTTAAAATTTGTGGGCAAGCTACAAGAGGAAGAATAGTACAAAGAACATCCCTACCACCGTTTATTTAGGTACACCTGTTGTTGATATTTTCCGAATTTGATTTATCACCTGTGGCACCCACACCCTTTTTGTGAACCATTTAAGGACAAATTACTTATATCATGATCTATTTACTATTAAATACCTTAGTTCCTAAGAATAGAAATATTTTGCTAGTCAATCTTAGCTCAGTTATTAGCTTCATTCCCTGTGTCAGTGATATAGTACTTATATGTCATCTGGCATCTACATTTCAGTTTTTTCAATAGATTCTAAATGCCTGTATGAAAGCATTTTTTTTTCTCCTCTAGTACAAGATTTAGTCTTGGATTATGTAACATATTTCATTGTCATGTTTCTTTAGTTTTCTTTCATCTGAAACATTTTATAGACATATTTTATCTTTCATGATTCTGGTATTTTAAAAGAACAGTCCTTTTTTATAAAAAAATAGAATATTCTTCATTTTAGGTTTATTGGCTGTTTTTCTTGTGATTAGATTCAGGTGATGCCTTCTTGGTTGAAATAATCCCTCCAAGGAATTGCATCCCTCCCAGGGTGTCATTTCTGGAGTTGCATACACATCTAATAATTTTGAACAAACAGAAGGTACTAGTCACAATTTATAACTTAAAACATGTGTATATGCCATCTTATTAATCTTCATTTTAAAGAAATAAAATCAGAGGCAATTCTAAAAGAAGAGCTTGCTTCCTCTTATTAGTTTTCAAAAAACACTTGAATTATATTTGAAGACAATGGATTGCTTTGCTTCCATCTTGTAATTTTCTTGTCATTTGAAAGCAAGGCAGATGTTACCAGAAAAGAAAAAAAAGAAAAATAAAACAGGGAGTACAAAAAAGAGAGATTCAGTGAATTCTTGTAGAATCTGCATGATTTAAAACTCTAGAAACAAGAAGTCCAAATGTGTCAATAAGAATAAGGAGTGGTGTGTTTTGGAGTGCTCATGTTGGTGGAGTGGGGTTAAGTTCCATAGCTGGTGGAGACCCATGCAGGGGTTGCTCAAGTTGACCTTCCAAAAAGCCGAATATTGTTCTCTGAATGCATAGCTCTGAAAAGTCTAGTCGACTGGGTTTCTCACATTTCTGGTGAGAGCACCCCAAGTTTTCTTTTGTCCAGTGTTTTCCTACATGGAAAATTACAGAGTGTTTTAAATAAGCCTTAAGCGGATCTGGAAGAATTTTGGAAAAAGTTTGGGCTTCTACAGAGCATATTAATTTGTTGAAAACTGACTGGGCTTTGTTTCTTGAGGAAAGATACTTAGTATGCTGGTGAAAAAATGCTATTGTTCTCAAATTAATGGAAAAATTTCCATATTTTGTCCTAACTTAAGACTTTGAAAGGCAGACCCAGTGAGGGAATTGGCTGAGCACAAGAAGAGGCGCTTTTCTACCTTGGATTCGTAGCTAGAAATGTTAGGAAAGGGTCCCAATGGCACAGACCAGTCCTTTAGGAAAATTTTATTCTGTGCATCTCTCTGTTTTTTGCTTATACTGAAAGATAATTAAAAATAGTTTGTGCTATATTAAAAATTAAAGAAATAGTCAGATAATTGAATAGATCCCCCTCCTCCACGTAAGACTTACCTAAAGTACTTATTTTAGTTTAAAAAAATTTTTTGGGGGGGTTACCATAGATTGAACTAAGAGGCACTCAATCACTGAGCCACTTCCCCAGCCCTATATTGTATTTTATTTAGAGACAGGGTCTCACTGAGTTATTTAGTGCCTTGCTAAGTTGCTGATGCTGGCTTTGAGCTCTAGATCTCTTGCCTTAGCCTCCCAAGCTGTTGGGATTATAGGCATGTTCCACTGTGCCCTGCAAAAAATTTACTTATATATTTTGTTTAGATAGGCTTCTAGGGAAACAAACTCACATCTGGGTTTTCCCATGAAGGCTCTGTAGGTTAGTACATACCCGTAGCCCATGGGTGTTTTATTGGCCATCATGCAAGGGTCCTCTGTATTATGATGGGCTTGCCCTGAGCATGGGTGGATCCTGAGCTATTTACTCAAGCCCAGGGATATATGGGGATCTCTCTGTTCTTTTAGAACCAAAGTGTCTATAGAGTAACTCTTGATGGTCTTGGGACATGCATAGGTTTGATACCTCCAGGATCTTTTGGAGGTGTCAATGCTGTTGGCAGGGATCTTTGTGCCCCTTCTGCCACTGCCTTTCTCTGGGGCTGGGAACACTCAGAATTCTCTCCCCACCCTGGGCATCAGTCTTGTCCACTGGGCAGATTATCCCATTCACAGATGTGAATCCATCCATCTTACGTACATGCTTTCTCCTTGTCCCTTTTTGCCTTTTCTGTAACATCTCACACCCCTCCTTTCCTCGGCAGGTTCTTTTCTTCCCTGTTGTTTCCAGCCACTCTCACATTCTGCTCATTTACAAGCACTTTGAGCTTTCCTTTCTTGCTGTAATGCGGAGGGAGGGAGGGAGGGAGGGAGGGAGAGAGAGAGAAAGAATATCATTGCTGCCAAGGCCCTTCTTTTACCCTCCAAGGAACACAGTATTCCAGAGGACACTCCAACCCCCTTGAAGCTCCACTCAGGCTGTTTCCAATTTATAGCATTTTAATAGTCCTGGCATTCTCAGAAGCTCCCTTTATCCATCTTTAATACAAATTATATTTCTGTCATTGATGTTGACAAATGTGCATAAGCACGTGGCTGGAGGGGCCACTAGATCTGGCTGACTGATTTCAATACTTCACTTCTAACTATTTGAAATATCCCCAAATAGTCATACCTCTCTCTGTTGCCTTCTCTTTAGAAAGCACTTTTTTTTTTCCCCCTAGATTCTGTTTTATTTGATAACAGAGCAGAGAACTCAAAGCCTCTAAAATCCTGCTGCCATCAGCAGATATGAGGAACCCAGGGCCGTGGTCTGTTCAGCATCCTGATGTGTGTTTCCTTTTCTACACAGGCTGGCTACATGTCTGGAATGCTGGTTCCTGTAGGGGTGGGGATAGCTGGAGCCTTGTTCATCTTGGGGGCACTCTACAGCATTAAGGTTATGAATCGCCAAAGGAGAAATGGCTTCAAAAGGCATAAAAGAAAGGTATGGAACCAACGAGAGCAAAACCTAATCAGTTTCAGAACATTCTTTGCTTATCTAATTTGCTTAATAAAGCACATAGGGTTTAATGGTGCACGAACGGTGTTGACGAACGGTGTTAACGTGTCCAGTGGTTTGGATTAGCTGCTGCAGCTGCTGCCTCGCTTCATTGGTTGGTGTGTCTTTTAAAGTGGGCCTGTTTCTCAGCTTTGTTCTGTGGCAGAAAGAGTTTAATGTGTTTCTGTTTTCTTTCTCTAGCAGAGAGAATTCAACAGCATGCAAGATCGAGTAATGCTCTTAGCTGACAGCTCTGAAGATGAATTTTGAATTGGACTTGGATTTAATTGGGACATTCAATGATGTTGTAATTTTATTTTTATTTTGGGGGAAAAAAGAAGAAGAAGAAGAAGGAAAAACAACAACTTCTTATTGCATTGCTGCTATCAGGCTGTCAGTTCTAGTACCTGCTGGGTAGTAGATTTTTCTTGCACTGAGCAGAAAAGGCATGCTGTAAACTAAATGTAACACACAGTGTTTGGTTATTCTGTAGTGAACTTCCTGTAACAATGGGCTACAATTTATGAATACACAGCATAATGTTGTTCAGTAGAAATAGCTGGATTAGGTAGGGTAAATATTTTGTATTTTTCCACTCTCTTTTCCTTGACTTGGATTACTTGCATTAAGTGTGATGATTGTAGCCACCAAGGCATGCTCGACTTTGAAATTGAAATCTTAACAAAGAATAACTTCTCATAATCACACTCTACCTACCTGAGATTGTAGGCTTGGGGGCTATGGTACATCCTGCATTTGTATCAAAACCAGCGTCAGTTGAGAATGAATAAGATCTCAGCCCATTAGGAGTACATGTAGATTTGTACGTATCTAGCTTTGTGTACTCCAGTTTCCTAGTTTTATTGTTTTCATCTTCTGTTTTATTCTTATTCTTGGCAAGGAAAAAAAAAATGCACCAGAAGTAATACATTAAATTGACTTTTAATGTATGTTTGCTCTCTTAAATAGTGTCATTAAGTCCAAGAACATCTTACATGTTTATCATTATGAGATATTCTTTTTGTGTACTATTTGACTTTGCCAAAAAGAAATGAGGAAGAAATCTCTGCCATTTGGCTCTGTGCTTGCATGACTGCTACTATGTATAATTCAGAGTATTTCTTTTCCACATCTGTGGTATTGGCCATGGAGAGAGTGGACCACCATTGGTACTTTTTGGCCTTATTAGAAAAACATACATTCTGTGGTAGAAGCAGGCCCAGCACCCAGATCCCTGGTACACAATGGAACTCATGGGAAACCAGATTCTCTCAGGACATCTCATCATGGGAATGATAAAATAACTGTTCAGATCATTTTTCATTTCCTTTGGAATATGATTCCCTACCCTATACCAAAATAGGATATTAAAATTACCCTATTTGAATTTGGGCACTTGGGACTTGTAGTTAGTTGAATTTTGGGGTAGAGATCGACTCATTTCATGGAAGGTTAAAGGTTAGTAACAGTAATATTACTATGGAGAACTTGGTTGTATTCAATGAGCCTGTTCTACTATGTCAAGCTAGTTACAGGCATTCCACAAAGCTACTGTTTTCATTTGACCAAAGATGGAACTGAAGCAGAGACGTGAACCAGGTATCCAAAGTTATATCCAGGAAGAATCAGCATGAGAATTTTCTTGGACTTAAAACCATGTGACATGTGCTCTTTTTATATACTTCAGAGGGAACAGTAACATTGCAGAATCCTTCTTTAAAACCAAGAGTGTAAGGAAATAGCTGCTTGGTGAAGGAGCATTTGTGCTTCTGTCTTTGTTGAATGATTGATGAATGATGCCTTACTAATTTCTCTTTTACGGCGAGTTCTTTCCTTCCATATAAATTTAAGTATCATCATTAAGGAATTAATAGCAAAAAATTTCCTAGAATCCATTCTTGAATGATAAATGGTTCACAAGAAGGCTTCCTTCAGTAATTTCAACTTTTTGTCCAGAGAGGTAAGCCAATGTGTGAAACTGATAGAAATGAAAAGTTTTGTAGAAACAAATAGAAGTTAGCCATTGACAGGGTGCTAAAGGTTGGATTTTAAAAAATATCATTCAGAACCATGACACTTAAAAGTGATTTGTAATTTCATGAGCAGAGCTATCCTGATATTGCAGAAGGGAGGTTCTCTTTTTCTGAAAGCAACCTCTTATTGTAAGTGTTCCTCAGGTTGAGTAAGTAGGCATGGGGGGCATTGCTGTCTATATTCTTATTTATAGCAAATATGCAATAGTTTTACTTAATTTAGCAACAACACATGGGTGACACTGATGGTCACTAATGTCTGGGACTACTCAATCTGTAGCGTTAACTTGTTGAATGTTCAAACTCTAGTATAATGAAGTCACAATAATAGACACTTAGTTTTGTTTTTCCATGAGTATGACATTCATGCGAGTGTAGGCAGAAGCAGAAGTGTCTCTGCAGCCCTTTTTGGGACACCCATCTACTAAAATAAGAACTGACCTATATCATAGTAGATTTCTGTACCAACTGGTTTAAACATCTGGATAAAGGAAAGGTGGTATAGATATAAATTGACTATGATTTAGTCTTAAAGGAAGGAAAACTATTAATAATGTGGATGAACTTAGAGAACAGCATGCTAGGTGAAATAAGCTAGTCACAGGATAAATATTGCATGATTCTAATTATATGAAATATCTAAAATATTCAAACTCATAGAAGCAGAGGTAGAACAGTAGTAGCCAGGAACTTGGGGAGGGAAAAATGGGGAGGTGTTAGTTAGGTGGTATAAAGTTTAAATTGTGCAAAATAAATAGCTTCTAGAGACCTGCAATATAGTGCCTATAGTTTACAATATACTGTATTGTGCACTTAAAATTTTAAGAGGCAGAGCTCACATTAATCATTTTTACCATAAGAAAGAGAGACAAGAGAAAGAATGGCCCTGTGGGAAGAGACCTTTTCTTAGTCATGCTATCCAATGTGTAACACCTGCCGTAGTGGAGAAAGGAAAACCAAAGTCAAGAGAAAAGATGGAAGCTACTAGAAAAAGAATAGAAGGCTGGGGTGAAGAGAAAAGTGATTCTTCCTTACCCCTGATGTCTTTTTCTATAGTCAAAGACAATATTAGTCTTTTAAACATCTTTAATTTTTTTTCTCTTCTGTAAGCTGTTTCTTTCAGTAGCTGCTGGCTTAATTTATATGCAATATTTGGAGTTAATTAGTATCCCAGGGTAACGGAGTCCCTTAGCAATGCCTTCGTCTTGGCTGCAGCTCAAATGTAGTTTTCCAGAAATACACTCTTAAAGTACCTGCATCTCTTTTGTGGGTAAAAAAAGTGAGGAAAAATTAAAGAAAAGTTTTAGAAAAAAGTTAAAGGCATTGTGCATTGTCTTGTGGCATAGTCAACCCAAACTGGTTTTTCATCTCATTATTTTATTTTTGTGTGCTGTGAGGATTGAACCCAAGAACTTGTGCATGCTAGACAGGTGCTGGACCAACCACTGAGTTACATCCCCAGCCCATATATATATTTAAGTCTTCAACTTAAAATTTAAAATGTTATGGAGATGAAAGCAATATGGAACAATATAATGCACTCTGAATGCCTAGTGCTCCCTGTCTCTGTGCTTCCAAATATCTCCTTCTTGTGGAAATTCAAGCAAGACATCTTATTTGGAGTCACATCCATAACTCAGGGGAGAAGAATCCAAGCATCCAGACATCATGATTTCTGTGGATGTGAAAAATCAATGCTCCTACTAGCTTCCAAAAATGAAAACAAAAACAGCTTTTGGAAACAAGATTTATTATTTAGCTTGAGCTTAAAGTTGTATGGCCTTTTGGTAAGACAGGCTTTGTTTTGAGCACAGAGACTCCTGACGAGACAGGCTTACAGTTGAAGAAAGGGTCTGTCCTTCTTTGGGTCTGTGAGATTTAGGTGACAAGAAAAGACATATGAATAAAAGAAGGTGGAAGAAAAATGAAAATACAAAGCAGATATAAATATGGCACAGAAACATGAGACTGTTCTAGAGGAGGCTGAAGTTCTGAATAGAAAAATGATAAGCAAGGAGAAGAATGCAAATGAGGAAATTAATTAGCAGGGAAAGGGGCCATAGAGCTACACAAATCTATTTTTGCTTCCATCCCTTCCATCAAAGAAAATTACCTTACAACTGGGTGGAATTGAGTATGGTTGGGAAGAAATTGAAGTCCAAGATGAATGAGGAGATGAAAAGTGTGTGGTTACTTTAAATGAGCTTAAGCTCAGTTAATAACTTCCTTAATTACACAGACTTCAAATGACTGAATATAAACTTCAAGGAATAGGAAATAATTTGAAAACAAAGCAATTTTAAAGTTATAATAACCATAAAGTTTCCATATTTGAACATTTGGCATCCCTATAAGACACACACCTCCTTTTTGAAGTAGCTATTAGACTGGTAAGATGTGGATGGACTAAGAATAGACATCTAAATACGTTGCTCTGATAATTATAAACTTCAGCCATCAAAATGGCTGGAAATCTAATCCTGATGCTTGATTTCTACATGCAGAGAACAACAACAACAAAATCACCATTTTTTTTGTAAGCTGATGTTACATAAATTCACTGGGAGTATGATTTTTGAAGCAATAGGTCTATGTAAATCTCTATTAATTAACCTAAATTTCTATTATGAGCATAGAGGATAAAGAGAGAAAGAAACAAAGAAAAGAAGGGAGGTGGGAGGGATGGAGGAGCAAAGAGGAGGGGAGAAATGTCCCCTACGAAATGGCAGCAAAAGTACAAAGAAAGAAATCATCTCTTCGCTTGTTCTAGTTTTCTTAGAAACACAAATATTGGTGCAAACTCTCAAATCTTCCACAGGAAAGCAAAGATCCTACTCTCCCTTCTTAAAAAGCAACAGGAGCAGCAATACAACAATAACCACTAATAGTTTGTAACACAGAGTATGAATTCTCACCACACCTAAGACTGCAGTCTCCAGACCTGAGATACAAGACAGTTGTTGCTGAAAGGTGTAACCTTTTGTGGTGAGAAGATGGAGGAATGGAGAGGAGTAGAAACAGAAGAATTGTCTGTTGGGAAGAAGTACTATCTTGTCTTTCTTTTCAAAGTTCATGGGTAGAAAAATAGTGCAAGCAAATGACAAGGGAGGTGCCCATTGGGTTATTTTATTACCTGAAAGGTGGAGAGGCCATCTGTTCTGGTCTCAAAAGAATAAACCGGGTATTGGGTCAAAAAATTGAGGTTTTTTTTTTTTTTTTAATGACCAGTACCCTGTACATCTTAATATTTTCTCCCTAATTAGCAGTTGGATAAAGAAGGAAACCAAAAGCCTTTGAAGTGTTTCTTCTATTTTATGTCTCACAGTATGGCCACAGCATTTTTGCAGTTTCAGACTTCTTCATGACTGGAAGGACTAAAATATAAACTCAGGAAAGTGTAACAACAGTATTTCGAGAGGAAGTTTTGATACAAAACCTTCAATAATTATTCCCCCCTTAAGTTTTTTCTTTAGGTAAGAGAAAAAGGAAAGGAGGGAGAATTCCAAATAGTTTTATTATTGAACTATTAAAATCCCAAAGATCTAGGATTGGGGAGTGTTGCTCAGTGGTGGAGTGTTTGCCTATCATGCATGGTGCCTGGGTTCTAACCCCAGAACTGCAAAACAAAACAAAAAAGAGGGAAGGGAGAGAGAGAGAGAGAGAGAG